CAGCGAGCTGTATAGGCACAGCTGGGTACTACTTTATAATATGTTCATTCTACTCACTGGGGTTTATGCCTAAAGTCAGACTTGGGTTCATGTATAGGTATGTGTCAGCTGTGCTAGCTATTAGATATATTTAGACTAATTAAGTTCATTGGCAGGACAATTGAATGGGGGGGAGGGAAGGCATGGAGGGCAACCAGGGACAATGGGGGAGGAGGATGGGACATAGCAGAGGGTGGGGGATGGGGAATCAAGGATGACAAAACAAAAGGCAAGGCATGCAGGACATAAGAATTGGAAAATCTCTTAAAAAAAAAAAGAAAAAGGGAAAAAACAAACAAACAAACAAACAAAAAACCCTCACATAGGGTACGTGTGCATGCAAGCCCAAGATCCCGAGAGGAGAAAGGAGGAGAAGGGATTGCAGGGTGTGGCCCCCCCCCCCCACCAGTGGGTGATTTCTTGCTTTCTATTTCTCTCTGTCTTTCTGGCAAGCGTATGCACCCTATAGCCAAAAAAAAAAAAAAAAAGAAAACAATGCAGGGTGTGGCCACCCCCCCCCACCAGTGGGTGATTTCTTGCTTTCTATTTCTCTCTGTCTTTCTGGCAAGCGTATGCACCCTATAGCCAAAAAAAAAAAAAAAAAGAAAATAAAACAAAGTGCTCAGGACACCAATTCCTAAAACTCTCAGTCATAAGGCCTAGCAGTCTGACATGAGGACAGTAAAAGTGGTTTTACAAGTTCCCCTGGGTGATTCCAAGGCACCTTATTGTTCACAGTATGGCAGAAGTATTGGCACCACCAGCGGCTTGTTAGGAATGCAGATTCCCAAGCACCCAGCAAAGTGCTGAATCTAAATTTTATCTCAGTCAGTTCTGCACTGATTTATACACATATTTGAGAAGCACTTTCTGTTTCTTAATTCTTATAGGACTCAGTCATGACAGGTTTAAGATACTTTCTAAGCATTCAAATCCTGTCAGTGGTCTACCTCCCCCAACGAAATGATCAATACTCTGGGGGCAGCAAATAGCATTTCCATTTCCTCTGAAGGTTTCACTAAATATAGCACAGATGAGATGGTTGGCAGTGCCTCTCAGCCTTCAGGATTTCCCAGCTGAAAGCCAGGATCAGCCCATATGAGACTCCTGATATCATATGGCCCAATCTCCCATACTGAATAGAAAGGAGTTAACCACATCTACATTCTCTTTTCTAGATCTTCTCCAAAAGTAGGTTCCTGAACCTTCTGGAAAAGCTACACTAAGGACTCAGCTGCATAATAGCTTTAATTTCCATAAACGTTTAAATGTCTGCACCAGTGAACACTCAGAAATCAAGGCTTACACCTGAGAACATTTTGCAAAAAGAGGGCCACCCACAATCATACACTTAATAAAGTCTTTTCAAATGATTAAAAAAAAAAATTCTAAGTTGTTTTGAAATCTGCTAAATAATTACTTCATTATCTAAGAATAACCAGAAACACATTTAAATTATAATGAAGTTAAGACATTGCAACATGTTTGGCTGTGAAAATGCTTCAAGGCCCAGAACCTAGCAGGAGGGTCACAGCATGAGGAGAATAACCCACAAGACAGAAGGTGGCCAAGACCCTGTCAAAGAAAAAAATCACATTAGAAACCAGCAGCTATTTTAAATGCCTTTGGTTAGACTGACAATATACTGTTAATGAAAGGAAGATTTAACATGCAGCAGAAATTGCACAGAGCTTCATGAGAAATAGAAATGAAAATGCCTCCCTAACAGCCAAACCTCAGGCTAAGAAGGACAGCCAGGTTGGTACACCCACTGTGAACCTACTTGGGCGTCTGCTGCACCTCTGCCCACCAGCGGTAGTCAGTGTAGTTGACCAGTAGCAGGATCTGACACCAGAGTAGCACCAGGGCCGGATGTGTGCGGATCATGGAGCGCGCCCGCGCGTTCAAGCTCTCCAGTGTATAGAAACTGCCATCACAGCCATCGCTGGTGAAGAGTCTAGTGGCAGCTGCTGTGATTCTCCGGAACATTCCTAGAAACAAACATTCCAAAATATCAGAGTAAAACTAGTTAAGGGGAAAAGTTTTTGCTGTGAATCTCCATCTAACACCACATGGCTACACAAAAATTTTATATAAAAAAGACCCATGCAGCCCTTTCCCACACCTATATAGTCAAAGCACTTGGCCCTTAGAAAATTCTGACTTTTCTAGGCAGAAGCAGATATTCCCCTGATTTAACAGATCAGCAAACCCTTACTCTCCTGCTGTCTATACCCCTACTGGCTGGCATTGTCAAGTTTTCCTGAGCTGCAAGAAAGAGGCCTCACTCTGTGCTCCCCAAGAAGGTGGTGGCCAACAACCATCACCTCAAGTCACTGTACTAAGGCCACAGCAGGACCCCCACAAAACTGAGTCACTGCACATGGGCAGGAACAGCAGGGTGGAAATAGCACACTACTCCACTATCATAAACAGCTCCTTAGCTTGCTACAAACAAAGGAACAGAAACACTTAACAGACTACAGGAGCAGATGCAAGTGCTCACACCAGTCCCAGGCTCTGTGTACTGTCTGTGGGTTATTGCCAACTGGCCTCTGCACCCCTTGGGCCTCTGTGCCCAACCACAGGGCATCCATGCGATCAGCCATCCACACTCAATACTGACATATCAGCAACAGACCCAGCTAGGCTCTGCTCACAGCTTCCTCAGGGTATCTTTCCAGGACCTGGAAAAAAGCCCTCAAGGAATTAATGATTTTATTCTATACCCTCATTTGGATAAATACAGAGTCAGGCTAACAGGCCTCTCTCGTTGCCCTGCGATGGCTTCCAAGGGCTGTTTCTCCCAAGGCCATAGACCAGAAACACTGCAGACATCAGGAAGGGGCAGTGAGACACAGGATACAGCAAAGCCCTGCTGGCCAAGGTCCCCTCCCCATCGCTGGGTCTCCTGGCATCACTGCTGATGAGGCAAACTTACTTGAATTTCAACATATGAAAGGGTCCTAAAATAGAGAACAGACTTCTTTTGACTTCATGATCTGCAGAACATACAACCTGAGACACAGAGGAAGAGAGCTAACAAAAGCATGGCACTCAGAGAACAAAATCCCAGTGAGGACAAGGAGTTCTAATGCTCAAGCCTATCTCTGGTTTCCTCTGGTCTCCTAAGGTTTCTCTATGCTCACTGCCCAGTCAGTATTACCCACCTCCAGTCTACCCAGAACTGGACTCATTCTTCTGGGACCCTCCATTACTGCACAGGCTTCTTGTGGGGGTCAGTGAACATGAGTGAAGAGGGATATGCTGCCTGAAGGAATATTGAAGTCAGGACCCAAACCACATGGCATGATAGACAATGGACATGAGTACAGAACAGGTAATAAGAAACTGTGATCAGAGCTGGGCACTAGTGACATGTCACTACAAGCTTTGATATCAAACTGTCCAGGCCAGATTGTGGCTTAACCACTGACAACCTGGGTGACCTTGTGACCCTGGCTTCCTCACTGTGAAATGGAATTCAGAGAAGCACCTGCTCAAAGGGCTGCAGTAAGGATCACATACTGGGACCAGAGTACAGGGCCTGGCACAGTGCCTGGCATGGCAGAAACGCTCTGCACCTGCTGCTGAAATGTACTAGGTGAGGACAGATGGAAAACAAGATGGGCTCTGGAAGGGCAGTGTTCCCACAAAGGGAGAGACTGAAGTCAGACAAGGCTCACTGGGATAGTAGGAGCTGAAAACAATGCTAGAGTTTTGACCACTCCTAATGACAAATGTGGATCTAATTAACAAGAAGAGAAAGCCTTGAAGAAAAGCAGCTATGCTAGGCAACAAGTTCAATTTTAAGCGTAAGACTGAGGTATCAACAACACAAATCGTGTATCTACAAAGTAAAAAGACAGAATGCAGAATGACCAGGACCATATAAACAACCAAGGTCACAAGGGTGGAATCTATCAAGAATGAGAAGAGGGAAAGACAGACCAGAGAGAGGGGAAGGGAACAGAGAAAGAAGATCAAGATCAGAAACACGGGAAACACGAGGAACGCGGGAACGGGCATGACTAAGAGGTAGGAAAGAGAAGACCATAAAAGAAGTGAAGTGACAAGAGGTTTCACAAGGATGAATACTTCTTTTCAAAGGGCTAGCTCTTCCTCCCCTGTCAGGTCTTAGTGTGACAGCCACCCCTCAGAAACCCTTCTCCTACCTCCTCACCCCTATTTTGTCCATCAACCACAGTTTGTTTCTTTTCTAAGAATATGGAGACTGTGACTGCATATTTGGGCACCAGGCTTCCCGAAGGCAAGAATCCTATTTGTTTGCTTTGCCTACCCTGCACACTCAGAGCCTAGCATGAGCTCAGGCCACGCTGTAAGTTTTGTCAAATGAACAAATGCTGGAAATGGTGACTACCTTTTACTCTAACAATTCAATAACAGAGAGGGGCTTCTAAAGGCAAAGGTGCCCTGACCCTCCCTCTTTGTTGTCCTTTCTATTTTTAGTTCTAGTAGTTATCTCCAAAATTCTTTCTTTAAAAAACAAAACTTTGTTCAGTTCATTCAAAAACATTGACAAAATAAACTTCAGTTGCAATTTCACATGTACCAAAAATTAAAAAAATGGTTTACAAATAAATGAAAAATGACAACTTCACAAAAAATTGTAAACATTTCCCATACTAGTCATATCTTTCTTTTAGGCAAAATGCTCTTCTGATGACAGATAAATTAACAAATATACATGCTACTGTGAACAATTTGAGACAATACAAAAAATGGTTTTGATTTTTTTCCTTGTAAACAAGTTTATCATTTATAATATTTTTTTCCTTTTTTCTTTCTCACACCTATCATCCACCACTCACTAACAACCACTTTCTCCCCTTCCTGTCACTAGCATATACACCAGTCCTCTCTGCCATCACACCTTTAGGTCTCTGCCGTAAAGTGCAAACACTCAGTACAAATTGAGTAGGGATATACAATGTGTATCTTTTAAAGTCTGACTCACTTTACTCAACATTAAATCTGTGTTTGTGGCCAGCAGGTGGGCTGACGGTGGTTCAAGTTCTGGACCCAGTGGCTTGCTTTCTCACATTCTCTCTCTGTCGCTGTCTGTCTCCCTCTGTGTCTCTCTGGTGATCACATGTGTCCTATAGCAAACTTAAATATATTATATTATATATAATATGTATATAAGATATATGTGTGTATGTATATATGTATGTATATATATGCTATAGGGCATATGTGATCATATGTGGCCTATAGCAACAAACAATAATAAAAATAACTTTTTAAAAGCTATAAAGCTATAGTAATCCATTTTGAGTTGAATGACAGGATCTCACTGTTTCTTATAGCTGTGTAATATTTCATAGTATATAAAAAATTCTAATAAATGTGTTTTTATCATTTGTAGCCCCTTAAAAAGTACCTAACCCTTACCCTCAAAGGGAAGGCATCCTCTTCCTCAAAGGAATGCTGACCAATCTCTCACCTGGCTCAATCAACCTGAGCACTGAGGAGGGCTCATGGTCACCCGTACGACTCATGCAGGGCCAGTCACATGCCTACTTCAGAGGCTGAGACCGTAAGTGCCAGAGGCCATCAGTCCTGCCACATAGAAGAGGCCCACCAGAGAATGAAGCCAACATAGAAAACACAGACACTGTGAGAACCAGACCATGGAACTGAACCACTAGATGCAGTCCTGCCTAAGGAGAATAAACCACCCCTGCCACCACCTTCTAGAATCATAGACCAGTTCATTCTTCTCCGGCTTTAGTTAGGATTATGTTGAATCTCTGACACAAAAGGACTACAGAATATAATAACCATGTATTGGGTCATTGTAAAAGTTATGACATATTTTTCTGTTTTTCTATGCAAGAATGTGTTGTGACTTTTCTAATGGTCTATAGAGTTTAGACGATTTTAGGCCCTAGCTATTAACTCTACCCTATTAAAGATGAAATTTAGCTCGCTTATGCTACCTTTTACCAATTTGAATTATATTTTAGTTATATGTGGATACCAATGTAACCTGTCAACTTCAGACTTTATCCTGTATCTCAACAATGCAAGATGAGCAAGATGAGAGTATTGGTGCCCCTTCCATTTTCCACCTTTTCCTCTACCATCTACTTCCCAAATCAAGTCAGTTAATTTTCCTTTTATATTTGTCAGAACAACAACAAAAAGTTTCACTCTGTTCTCAAACCATAAAATAAATCTCCAGTGTTGTATTCATATATTAATTCTAAAAATAAAAGCTCAAACAGTTAACCATATTATGACTATGTGAATATACCTCCCAAGAGAGCTAAGAGACCTAAAAGAATTATATCTATGAGTTCTCAATCAAGTCCCCTGTGCCACTTAAAAGAGAACTTTTTGGGGGGTAGACAGTTTTGCCTTAGGGCACATGTGCATGCCAGAAAGAGAGAAACAGAGACAATGAGAGGAAAAGTGAGAAATCACCCGAGGGGGAATGACCACAGCGCAATCCCTTTTGCTCCATTCTCCTCCTGGGATCTTGGGCACACATGCCCCAGTGATGACATTAAAGCTACTGGGTCCAGGACCTGAACTGTGATCAGTCATGTGGGAATCCAGTGACGTAACCGCTATGCCCTCTGCTGGCCTCTCTCAAGAACATTTTTGATACAAAATGAAGGTTTTCCATCAGATTAACAGCTGAAAATCACACATTTTGGTTTGCTTCCTATTTGGATCATGACTTAAAGCTATTTGTTATTCCTAGAGATCAGAATAGTCTTTCTTTTTTCTTGTTGAGAAGAAAAATATGCCTATACCCTATAACTAGTCTTCTAGCTTCTTATTCATTTTATCTAAAGTAAGGCATTCCTCTTAAAAACACTCATTCTTCTTGGAAAACACTGCCATAATTTGGATTGGCTGCTTCCTAAGCTTGATACACAACTGCCATCTTCTGACTTTCTCTTAGTTTCACTGAAGGAAGTAAGGAAGGGTGAGGGCGAAAGAGGCAGAGACAGGCATTTTTTGACAAGGTCTCATCTTGTTGCAACTGTCCTTCCCCAGTCTTAAATTAGCTAGGATTACAGGTATGTAGAACCATGTCCGGCATGTTCATGTTGGCCCAGGAAACAAACCCAAGCCTTCTATGCAGCTTCCAACCTCCCAAATGGTGACATCATCAGGCACCACTGCAGGTGGGCCCATTGAGCTTTCATTCATGATCATTCATGAAGAAAACAAACCATCTCAGCCCTCAAACCTTTGAGACAGGAGGTAGCCCTCAGTTTGAGTCTTTCCCCTTTTTTTTTTTCTTTTTTTCGTATTGTGGTAAAATACACCTAACACAAAATTTACCATCTTTTTGTTTTTCTAATTTGCCAGCGTGTATGTCCTAGTCAGAGGAAGACAGGGTGGAGATGCAGAGGGAGGAAAAAGGAGAAAGTACTCCCCTCCGAAGGGGTATGGTCAAGCCCTAATCCCTTCTCTACCATTTCTTCATCCTGTCGGAATTTTGGATAAGCACGCACACACATCCAGTGTGTTTTTCAAGGGCTGAGATTGAAATCACTTGGTTGGCCACATGGGATTCAGCTCCCTTAATTACCAGACAACAAGGTAAGCCTCCAAAATTTACCATCTTTAACATGTCTGGGTATAGAGTTCTCCGGTCTTAATAATGTTCATATCACCACCATCCATCTCTTATAACTCTTTTTATCCTGTAAATTGAAACTCTGTGCCCATCAAACAGTATCTTTGCATTCTCCCAAACTCTAGCCCCTGAGAAGCACTATTCTGTTTTTTCTCTCTGATTCTGACTACTCCAGGTACCTCATATAAGTCATAGTATTTGTCTTTGGTGATTGGCTTACATGTTTTCGCACATATTAGAATTCCTTTCCTTTTTGTTTTTAAAGAATGATTTTATTTAAATGTATTTATTTATTTTAATTTGACCAGAAAGGGACAGAGAGAGAGACAGAAAGTGAGAAGGCAAGCCACCAGGTCTGGGACTAGAACCATGGTTGGCCATGTGGGTGTCCAGTGCTCTTAACCACCAGGCCACTCCTGGCCCCTTCCCTTCCCTTTTAAAGTGGAATAATATTCTATTGCATGTATATAAGAGATTTTGCTTATCCATTCATCCATCGATGGACACTGAGGTGCTTCCACATTTTAGTTATTGTGAATAATGCTCCTATGAACACTAACACACAAATATCTTTTAATCACCATGTTTTCCATTCTTTTGGGTAGGTACCCAAGAGTGGAACTGTTCAACCATATAGAATCAGGTTAACTCTTACCACCAACAAAACATTTCCATATAGCACACTTAGCAGAGCAGAACTTCTATGGGACAGCATGGCCTTTGGAATCTAGGAGTGGACAATGCAGACAGGAAATACTGAGACATCTGATTTACCTACCAGACTTGAAGATGTGGATCAGACACATGAGCAGTGTGCCTAGTTCTTGGCAATAGAAAGTATGTTGCTGTTCACTCATTTCCACTTTTAGCTGTTTTGTAACAATGTCCTCTAAAAGAATACCAACCAGTTGTAATAGAAACCTTTCAAGAAAAATGGACAGTTAATTAGGTGGCTATTATAGAACACTTAGCCAGGTATATAAGATGTCTTCAAAAAGTTCATAGAAAATGCATAGTATGAAAAACTGACAGATTGTGGTATAAAATATGAAATCTGAAAATCATACAAGTATATATATATATAGATAGATTTAAAATAAAAAAAATAAAAAAATGTATACCTTCAGGACAAGAAAAAAAAGAGAGAGAGAAAATTGGAAATAGCTTAAATGGTAAATCGTCAGGGATTAGCTGCTACCTAGCTTTAGGACAATGATGTAAAGAGCTGTATTCATTAACATTAATAGATATTTATGTTGTTTAAAGAAAAAGAAAGAAAGAAAAGAAAAACTATGCAAGGATTCCACATTTTCACTGGCACCAAAATAAATCCATCGTATTTTATTAATAATTTCATTTCCATGAACTTTTTGAAGTTACCTCATGTATGTAAGGTATACTTCTTGTGTGTAAAGTATTTATGATAAATTTAGATAAAGTAAAAACATAGGTAAGTACAATAGGTAAAGTAAAACATAAGTAAAGTATTATTTTGAATTAAGTTACTTTGCTTCTCTGGGTATCATCTTCCATACTTCTGAAATGGCAGTAATCATAGCACCTTCAAAGGAATGTTAAGATAAAATGACATGAGACCAGCAGTTAGCGTAATGGCTATGTCGCTGGACTCCCATGTAGCCGACCGCGGTTCGCGTCCCGGACCCGGTGGCTTGAAACTCACGCTGGGCGCGTGTGCGTGTGTGCCCAAGATCCCAAGAGGAGAATGGAGGAGAAGGGAGTGCGGCATGGCCATCCCCCCTGGGGGGTGATTTCTCGCTTTCTGTCTCTCTTTCTCTGTCTGTCTGGCGAGCGCACGCGCCCTATAGCAAAAACCTCTCAAAAAAAAAAAAAAAGATAAAATGACATGTAGTAAATTTTATTTTTAATTATTTATTTTGGGGGGGTACCAGCAGGTGGTGTGGTGGAGGCACTGGACTCCCACATGGCCGACCATGGTTCCAGTCCCAGATCTGTGGCTTGCTTTCTCATTCCCCCACCCCCGACGTAATGTAAAATTAAATAATTATTTCAAAAATTAAAAAAAATATATATATATATATATAAAATTTATTTTTTATTTGCACGTTTGTGTGTGTGTCCTGAGGTGAGATCCAATGCCCTTTACTTAAAGTGAGGAACAGGGAAGGGCCAGTGTTTTTTTTTTGTTTTAAAAGAAAGTTTTGCCATGGGGCATGAGCACTTGTCAGAAAGATAGTGAGAAATCCCTTCTCCTCCTTTTTTCTCCTAGTATCTCGGGCATGCATGCACATGTACCCAGCATGAGTTTGAAGCCACTGGGTCTGGGACTCGAACCACAGTTGGCCATGTGGGAGTCTAGGGATGCAACCCCTATGCCATCCACTGGCCCCAGGGACAGGTCTGTTTATGTTTCTGTGCAAAAGGGGAGAGGACAGGAAACTTTACTCTTTGAGCTTCTTAACTATTTGGCTTCTAATTCATTGGAATTTACTTTTTTGTCTCACTCTCCATTAATTAAAAATGGCATTTATTCCATCAGTGGAATCAAGCTCATTATTTTTTCTCTAGATTGTCTTCCAAGGAACAGCAGCCTGCCCTATTTGATTGATCCTCAGTCAAGTCACATGGGCACTTCCTCTGGACACACCTGATGAATCCACAGTGCCTGGTAAGGAGTTGATGGTAACATAAAGAGGACTTGGGCGAGGGGGGCCTACTTCCACCACCTACACATCACTTCTTGTTGCTAGAATGAACCCCAGAGTGACTGCTCAATAAATGTGTTTAGACATTCATACACTTCTCCAGTGACAGGCTATACTCATTGCATAGTAACCTAGGAGCATCAAGTCCCAGAGAAGGGCTATAGTATTTTTTTTAAAGCTTTGTAAACAGTAAAGCATTACACAAACACACACTGATCATCTACCACAGAAGTTAATGTATCATCAGTTTTAACCACCTGCTTCAATATAACAGACAGTAAACCATAGGCTGTCGATTGAACCTACAGACAAAAGTGTGTCCACGTTTACTGGGTTTATCTCCACGAAACACAGTGCACTGTCACTGATGACAAATCAAGGGACAGCTAAAGTGAAGTTATGGAAGACCTGACCAGAAGGCACACATTTGCAGAAGTAGCTCTCATTAGTGAATGCTCTGAATCCAGCAAAGAATTCAGCCAGTTGTAACAGAAACCTTCCAAGAAAGGGAAAAGGATAACTATCAGTTGAATAGACCGTTGTCTATGTAACAGGCATTTACTAGTGCCCAGATTATGATCAAAGCCCTCAACAAGCTTCTGAACAATCTACAAGAGAAGGTGTAACTTGATAAGGTATCATGGCAGCTGTCTACCTTGGCAAGGAGAAGTTAGTTCATTACTGATGGTATGTATAACTGCCAGCACATGGTACAGATAAACATAAGGCCAGCTTTTAGTGAGTTTCTTAGGTTTTAATATTCTCTACAGGCACTGCACTCTCTCTCACGGCCTGCATGGAGGGCAGGCCACCCTCTGCCCTGCCCACGATAAGCCACTGCGTCTTTATAAGAGATAGAATATGACAGAGCCTTAAGAGGTATGAACCAAGGGCCATAGTAAGATAGGCTGGATGACAACACACACCATCATAGGTTTCTGCACCCAACTCACAGAGCTGAATCAGGACTAAGAGCTATTCCAGACTAAAAATCACATGACTTAAAAATAAATATAGATCAGTTACAGGTTCAGATTTAAAGCATACCTTGAAAACGTTTCTTCTGGCAAATTCTTCATTTGTTTCCCTTCGCTGTGCTCTTCCAGTGTTGAATTACTATCACCATCTCTTAACCTATTAATTACTGGACAGGAGATTAAATAAGAAGAGAAGGAGAGCTCTTGAATACGAGAAAGGACAATATCTTCAGTTGACTGGGAAATTAAAACTCTCAGAATGGCTAGAATTCCTGATATCCACAGTTGAACAGTGCTCACAGATGCCTAAAAGAAAGACAAATACATTATAGCTAAAGACAAAAATAATTAAATTTTCTTTCATTACCAATTTCATTGGGAAAAAATTACCCTTATTTTACCATACTACCATAAATCTCTACATCACTAGCTCTCAGTGTGGTCCCATAAAAGGAGCAAAAGTATCACCTGGGAACTTGTTAAAAATGTAAATTCTCAAGTTCCACACCCAAAGCCTGTGTCTGAATCAGCCCTCAAGGTCAATCTGATGAACCAGGTAAGACTCACCATTGTGTTTGGAGTGACGAACATACTCCGTAAAAGCATGTCCACAGGACGGAGGGATGAAGGAGCCAAAATCTCAAATAAAGTATTTAACACTCCAAGGGCTTCATGAGAGTCAATGTGCATCTGTGGAATTAAACACCACAGTAAACCAAGAGAAATGTAAACCAAGAGAAATGACAGTTTTATATACATCGGGTTATGTATCTCAAAGGCAAATGAAGGGACCAGCAGTTAGCGTAATGGCTATGTTGCTGACTCCAACGTAGTCAACGCAGTTCGTGTCCCAGACCCGGTGGCTTAAAACTCATGCCGGGCGCATGTGCGTGCATGCCCAAGATCCCGAGAGGAGAATGGAGGAGAAGGGATTGCAGCGTGACCATCCCCCTGTGGGGTGATTTCTCACTTTCTGTCTCTCTGACTCTCTCTGTCTGTCTGGCGAGCGCATGCTCCCTATAGCAAAAACCTCTCCCCCCCCACAAAAAAAAGGCAAATGAACATAATCATCCCATCACTAATATCCCCTTATGAAAATTATTTTAAGTTTAGCAGCAAACCAATTGAATATTTTTTTCAAAACAGTATATCAGCTATGTATTTTCCACAATGGAAACCTCTTCACTTATAATAGACTCCCCCCCCCAACCCAGAGGTAGTGTGCACTCACCAGAGAGACAGACAGAAAGACAGAGAACGTACTCAACAGGGTATGGTTACACTGCAATCCCTTCTCCTCCATTTCTCTATCCGGCTGGGATTTGGGGCACATGCATACACATGTGCCCATTGTGTTTTTTGAGCAGGATTTGAACCATGCGGTCAGCAAAGTGAGATTTACCTACCTTACTGCTAGATCACAGAACCAGCCCTCATTTAGATTTTTATTACATAAATAATATATAAAAAATGTGACTCTTTCTATAAAAGTGTATGTATATATGTATAAAAAAATCAACTGGAATTGTATCCTGATAGAATCATTATCAACATTTTGGGAACCAGTCTTTCAGAAATCTTACACAAACATAAATGGGAGATCATACATATTATATCTTTGTTCTTTTGCTTTACCTGTACCCTAGCATTAATTCACCAATGAGTGAATGACAAATATTAACACATTAGAACATCCCATTTTTATCTTTCTCTGCTTTCCTTTTTATTTATTTATTATTTTATATTACATTGAATCACAAATATCTTTACAGTGTATAACATTTTTTTCCAGCACAATTACCATGAATATGAGTAAAGACAAAGACATTATTATACACATCAGCAGCAGCAAATAACTTTTCAATTTTTTTCAGATTTTTAATTTTTTAAAATTATTCTTGTAATTTTTAAACATTCAATTGTTATACATCATTTGGCTTGTAAAGAGAATTTACCTAACATGAAATACTTCTCACACCAGTCAAGTTGAGAATACCATACATGTTATCAACAGGTAATAAACCATTTCTGTGTCCCACAAATGTCATGCCTCTCTATTATTTCTCCTGCCTTCCTTCTCTATACTCTTCCCTTACCCCACCCCCCATTCCACACTGTCTTCAGCATCTGTAACTTTTCATTGCTTTCATACCCTCGAATATATGAATCTCCACCACACAGTGTGGAGAGTTGGTATATAGTAAATAAATACATACAATATCTTTCTTTCATAGCCTGGCTTGCTTCACTCAGCAATAAATCTTCCATATTTGTCCCTTTTTTATCAAATGCCAGGGTCATTTTTTTTTTTTTTTTATGGAATACTAAATGGTATTCCATTGGGTATATGTCCCACATTTTTTCAATCCATTCATCTGTTTGTGGACATTTGGGTTGGTAACATGTCTTAGCAATCGTGAATAATGCCACAATAACACTTTTCTGACTGAGCATTCTCCTGTCCTTTGGGTAAATACTCAGAAGTAGGATTGCTGGATCAAATGGTAGTTTTATTTGTAGCTCTTTGAGGAACCTCCATATTGTTTTCCATAGTGGCTGGACCAATTTACATTCCCAACAGTATAGGAGAGTTTCCCTTTCACCACAACCCTGCCAACACTTACCACATTTTGTATTCTTAATCTTCACCATTCGGACAGGAGTTAGTCTGTTTATTTTCTATTTCACTTATTTATGCTCAAATCTTCATTATTTCTTTTCCCTTGGCATTTTTTTTCTTTTTTGATTTTGTTGTTTTTCCAATTCCCTGAGGCATGATGTTAGGTTGTCTATTTGCCACCTTTCCATCTTTCTCTTATGCTCACTAGTTGCTATGAATTTCCCTCTTATGACTGCTTTTGCGGTGTCCCTTAGATTATGGAAACTTACGTATTCACTGTCATTTGTTTCCATAATTTTTTTTTATTTCAGATTTAATTTCTTCAGTAGTTAAGAAGTCATTCAGAAGTAGGTTGTTCAGTTTCCATGTGTTTGTGTATTTTCAAGGATTTTTCTTGAAATTCGTATCAAGTTTAATTCCATCATGGGCAGAGAAGAAAGATGCTAAATATCGTTTCTATGCCTTTGAATCTGTAAAGGCTTGATGTGTGTCCTATTATATAGTCAATCTTTGAAAATGTTCCATGCAGGGGTGAGAAAAATGTGTATTTTGTGTATTTTGTGGTCTCAGGGTGAAAAGTTCTACAAATGTATACCAAGCCCATTTGATTTTTAGTATTGTTTAGGTCCTGTATCTCTCTGCTTATTTTTTGTCTAGAAGATATGTCTAAAGGACATGATGGGGTATTGAGATCCCCAGCAATTAGAGTGGTGCAAGCTAACTCTCCTTTTAGCTCCAGCAGTCTTTCCTACACATCTTTAGGTGCTCCTGAGTTGGTGCATAGATATTACGTGTTATGTCTTCTTGATGAATTAGACCATTTACTACTATATAATGCCCTTCTTTGTCTCTTCTTACAGTCTTTGTCTTAGAGCCAATTTTGTCTGAACTCAGTATCACAACTCCAGTCCTTTTTTGATTTGCATTTGTATGGGATATCTTTTTCTAGCCCTTCACTTTTAGTCTATGTGTGTCTTTATCCATAAGGTGCATTTCTTATAGGCAACAGATAGAGGGTTTCTCTTTTTTTATCCATTCGGCCAGTCTGTGTCTCTTGATTAATTTAGTCCATTAATGTTCAATATCATTATCGCTCTTTCCAGATGTGTTCTTATCACTAAGTGAGCCATTTTCGTAGTTGTTTTTTGTTCTCATATCTGTCTGACTTTTTAGTTTTCCTAGTATAGCACTCCCTTCACAACTTCTGGAAGAGCTGATATGAAATTGGCAAATTCTTTCCAGTTTTGTTTATCTGAGAATAATTTTTTTTATCTTTATGTCTTGTATGAAGGATAATTTTGCCGGGTACAATATTCTTGGTTGAAATTGTTTTTCATTTAACACTTTGACTGTACTTCCCCATTCTTTCCTTGCCTACATTGTTTCTAACGAGAGGGCGGATGTCAGCCTAACGGAATAACTTTTATAAGTAACTTGATGTTTCCCTCTTGCCAATTTTAGTATCTGTCTTTGTCTATGGTTGTGGCCAGTCTGGCTATGATGTGCCTTGGAGAAGATCTTCTTGGGTTGATTATATTTGGGGTCCTATGTATTTCTTGAGTCTGGATATTTGAATGTCTCTCTAGGTTTGGAAAGTTTCCTTCCAAGATTTAATAAATAAATAAAAAAAAAAAACTATCGATGCTCTTATTATTTTCTCTGTCTTCTGGGATACCAATTATCCAGATGTTTGGGTGCTTGATGATATCCAGTATTTCTCATATATTATCCTCATTTTCCTTAGTTGTTTTCTCAGTTTTTTTGATAATTTTTTCTGGGTCAGAGGTTTTGTCTCCTACATTCACAATTCGATCTTCTATGTGATCTAATCTACTTTCAAAACTTTTTTTTGGGGGGGGGAGAGATTTTTGCTATTGGGCACATGCGCTCGCCAGACAGACAGAGAGAGACATAGAGACAGAAAGCGGGAAATCACCCCCCGGGGGGATGGTCACGCCACAATCCCTTCTCCTCCGTTCTCCTCTCAGGATCTTGGGCATGCATGCACACGCGCCCGGCGTGAGTTTTAAGCCACTGGGTCCGGGACGTGAACCGCGATCGACTACGTGGGAGTCCAGCGACAGTTAGCCATTATGCTAACTGCTGGTTCCCTACTTTCAATACTTTAGAGGGAGGTTTTAATTTCCTGTATCACATTCTTCATCTCTAACAATTCTGTTTGATTCTTTTTTTATGGTGTCTATTTCTTTTTTCAATTGTGAAAGGACTTCCTCATCTCCTGGAGCTCATTGTCTCTTTTCTCTTTCATCTCATTTAGTTTGGTCACTATAAATATTCTTAATTGTTTATCTGACATTTCCATGAGTTCTATTGTGTTCTGTGGGTGATGAGGAATTGATGTTTCCCTTGGGGGAGAGACATTTTGTTGGTTGTTCATATTTCTTGTGCCTCTGCAATGTTTTCCAGTCATCTGGTAATCTATATATTCCTTCCTAAATTATTCAAGGTATCTCTGAGTGTTCAGAGGTGTGCAGGAGTAGGCAATTGCCAGTCTCTCTTGTGTTCTACCTCCCTGTTTGTCATCAGCACCTTGCACTGTTGTCACTGGTCCTGAGTGACCCAAAGTCCTCCCTGTTTCTAGAGAACAGTGCCTGAAACTAAGCTGCTGAGCTTCAATTCAGAAATAAAGAAGAGATAGGGACCAGCAGTTAGCGTAATGGCTATGTCGCTGGACTCCCATGTAGTCAACTGTGGTTCGAGTCCCGGACCCGGTGGCTTAAAACTCACACCGGGCGCGTATGCATGCGTGCCCAAGATCCCAAGAGGAGAATGGAGGAGAAGGGACTGCGGCGTGGCCATCCCCCCTGGGGGGGGATTT